ATTTTTTATTAAAATTTTAAGATTTATTGCATTTTAATCTAACATTATCAAAAATTAAAATGCAATAAAAATTAAAAAATTCTCAGAGCCCCATTTTCCTAGCAAACCTCACATATGATTTGTAGTTGTTTCTTCTATTACAATATCCCCCCTCCTTTAAAAATGAACTCCAGTGAATTAGTTCATAAAGGTCATTAAGTTTTAACCTTTCAATTAATGTTGTAGTAGTATTTTGAATTCTCATTAATTGTTCAACATTATTCTCCAATATAAGAAATAATCGTTTCGACACAATATAATAATATTTAGATAGTTTGGATCTTTTTGTGTCATGCATTCGTTATCAATTATTTCTCCAATATGATAAAGATAAAATAAGGATTCTTTTCTGTTCTTCAAGGTTATTTGTCTTTGTACATATCAAAAGGATGTTCTTATTTTCGTACATGCATCTTGAGATGTCATTTGAGGTAAAGGTGGGAGTGAAATATTAAGTGTACAAATTAGGATCCCGAACAATATACAAATATATTAGATTTATATTTGCTTAACGGTCATAAGAAATTTTATTACACATGAGATATTTATTTGCTTAACCAATAGTAGACAGGCTAGTATTAACAACTGAAACCAAAGCTGCAATTCCAACAAGTCCAAATGAGAAAATCTTGAGAAGTTTTAGAATCAAATTATTTTGTGCTTAAAAGACCATTACAGAATAAAATATATGCTTACGAAACTTAAAGATTATTTATTTTAATAACTTATGTTCCTAATAACCTTATTGCTATAAGGCAAGCGAACGAAACGGAAAATATTATATGCTCAAATATGATATCGATATGATTGGATACATTATTTAAATGATTTTATGTTGATCAATCATGTTGCATCGATCATCTTTTTTTTGGATTAACGTGATTTAATAAATGTTGCACTACGGGAATGGAATGTAATTTCAAAATTCCAACTTAATACTATTTTTTTAAAAAAAAAATGAATGGTCGCATTCCTATAACTCGTTTTTCTATTTTAGCAGAAAGAATAACTCTTAGTAGAGTTACTCCCCTTGCACGTCGTAACTTTGCTACTGCTACAGGAGTAGTTTCAGAAGATTTTTCTGTCAAACGCAAACATGTTGAGGAACATGCAAGAAGTAGATTTATGATTTATTTTCTTGGAGTAATTTAAGCAATTTATTTAGTCTTTGATTCTAAATTTTATTTTAAATATATTACAGAAACCTTTAAATTGTGGAAAAAGATTTCTTTATCCGTTGTTCCTATATCTGTGTTCCTTAGCGTTGGCAATGCTGTCATGATTATGAACGAACATGCTGCTCATAATTTAGAACATCCTCATGTTGAAGAAGTTGACCACCCCCCATTCCAATATCAAAAAATCAGATCCAGGGTATATATATATATATATATATTTTTTTTTTTTTTCATATATTATTTAAAATATTAGAACTTAACAATTTTTTTTAATTTTAGCCTTTCTTTTGGGGTGATGGAAATCACACTCTCTTTCATAATACTGCTGTCAATGGACCATAGATACTGATATTAACTTAATATTAGAACATTTTTATATTATCATTGTTTTCTAGCCCTCTCGACAGTAAAGATCTGATTCACTGTCTTTAAAGTAAAAATCAATTAAATTTTATTAAAAATTAATCTATATACAATTCAAAATTTATCTTTATTAAAGCGAACCTTTATGTCAATCAACGACTGTTAATTTGTTAATTTTCAATTTCATTGACGTCAAAAGTTTTCCTTGCAGTCTTAATATCTTTTTCCATAAATAGTAATTCTTCAACGCGCGCAAGTTTCTTTGGATCATTTCTTAAAATGAATTTAAAATCATCAACAGTAACTTTACGATCTTTAGCTACCTTTGATGCTTTCAAACACTAAAAAATTTATATGAAATAGTTGGTAAAAAAAGATATATCTCAATCCAATTTTAATAAAAGTTTTTAGTCAGGAAATAATACCATTTCAGTAATATAATCATTTACAAGTTCTTCCATTACGTTCACCGTATCAGGTGCTGGGTCGGATTCATCTCCAAACCCATACATTAACAATCGTACTAAAATCAAAATTGAAATCTTTGTTAGATCTAAAATTTAAAACTTTATAGGAACTTTCAAACAATTGTAGAATAAACATACAGTCTTTTGTAAATAAACCCTTATTGCCTTTAGGCGGACGACCTCTTTGTTTATCTGCCATAGAAAGCAATTGATTTAAAAAAGTGTTTTTGACCTGAAAATTTCTACCCGACTTACTTTTAAACAAACAAAATCGGTGAAATATAAGTGAATTTGTCCCAGTGACATGGCGTGACAGATAACATTAATAGGGGGTTTAGTCATTTATTTTTATGGGTTAGTTAGGTTGCTTAGAAAATTTCGAACTTTCTTTAATATGCTATATTTGGGATGTGAAAGCGATAATGTCCTCTAATAATATTGAATTTCGAAGTGAAAAGCACGTCATCACAGAAAAAAAAAAAGGTACTATTATATTAACGATTAATTTAAGGCATTTTTGTTTATTGAAGCAATTTTAACATCTCCAATATATAATTAGCACTTGAATTTCATAACATTTAATTAGCGAATTGTTAATCCGTCAAAGACGGTTCCGATGTTCTCCTTATCACCATTTTTGGACTTGTCGCTTTTCTTTTCGTTTTGAAATACTCTCCAAAATTTCAAATTCTCATCGCTCGCTGCCGTGGAAACTACTTGTTTATCGGGACTTATTGCTGAATGCAATATACGAGATTCATGGGCTGGAATGTCGGCAACTTTATTCAAAGTTGGATAAGACCAAATCGCCATATTATGATTCGGAAATCCATGGGTTGATAAAAGTTCTTTAAAGTCTTTGGACCAAATGAGTGAAGTCACTTGAGATCCTGTATCAATAGATTTTACGCGGGCTCCAGAGTTTACATTCCAGAAATGAATGTGACGATCATAGGAACCTCCACCAGTGGCAAGAAGATGACTTTGCCATGGACACCATGCTAAAGCCTTATTAGGTAAGGGAAAGTAATAATAACAAAAAAATTTCATTAATATATATATATATATATTTTAAAAAAAAAAAATAATCAAAATAATCAAAATAATCAAAATAATCAAAATAAAAGTCGGTCATACTACGTACCTTTACAGCAGCGACATGATTGTTCTTTGTTAATTTTGGAGTACTAGATCTTGCATCCCAGATATTCACTCGATTGTCATTTCCTCCACTTGCCAATTGATCGCCATTGTAGTGCCATTTTAATCCACAAACTTCACTAGTATGGTCAATCAATTCAGCTACCTTATGATGAGCAATCCTGATATCATGATTCCAAATCTGTCCATCTTTACACCCCGAAGAAATGATATGTTTGTTCCATGTTAGCACTCCTACACGTGCTGTATGTCCCATCATTGATCGAATTTTTTGTTCTTTTAAAACATCCCAGATTTGAATGTCGCCATCACTTGTTCCTACAGCTAAATAATCACCATTGGCGGACCATGATAAACTAGCAATGTAATCGCTTGGACCAGTCCGTTCAAGACTCGTTACATCACCGGTGTCAGCGTTCCAAATATAAACACATTGATCTAATCCAATAGCGACCATGTTCTTTATATTCCAATCTAATAAATTCAAATAATAATCATCCAACAAACCTGGCGCATCAAGGATACGTTCTGGTGATGTCAAGATACGTCTTTTAAATTGAACTGATGGATAAGGTTTCATTGGTCGGTTATACAATTGGCGTAAATCTTCTTTCTGGCTTGATGGGGGTTCGGGCTTGAATGCCAAAATACGTTTTTCAAGAGCAACACCACATGCCTCTGCCAATTTTTCCTGATATTCAAATTCATTACTGTTCAAGTATTCCTTTCCAGTTTCTCTTTGGGGAATTTTTAATTGTTCCGATAGATCTCCCATTATTTCATGCACTGGAATAAATCGATCAAGCTAATACATAGTTTTTTGTTTTTAATTACGTTAGGATCTTTATAAATATTTAAATGTAAAAGTGAAATCTATTTGATGGTTCCATTATCACAACAACCTGAGGTTTGTTCTTTTTCCCTTTCGATGGAGTAGCTGCGCCAGTCCAATCGTTTGCGATCACATCTAATTTCAATATCTCTCTTTTGATGATACTTTTAGGACTTTTCTTCTTACACGACTTGAATATTTTGGTCAAATCACACTGTAAACCGTTAAAGGTTTTAGGTGACCCGTTAACCGACTTTGCTGACTTTGCACGAGAAGGTGAAGTCAGTCCTGAGCGTGTAGGTGTGGTTAGACGCGAACGTGGCGACCGTTTTCGAGGAGGTGTTGTAATTGGGAAAGTCGACTGAAATTGTGAAGGGTTTGAGGTCGCCAGTTTGACAGAATATTTCTGTTTGTTTTTTTTTTTTTTTTGAGGGGAGAAAGTTATTTCTTTTTAAATTCTTGTCAACAAAAAACTACAAGAAATAAGTTATTTCTTACACTGGAAAAAAAAAGAAAAGTTTTATAGTATTGAAAGTTTTTGTTTGTTCTTTTTTATCTTTCTGTCAAATGAAGAAAGTTCGCATTTAAACATGTCATATCAAAATTGATAGATGTAAAGTATAAATAAAAACAATATTTTCATCATAACAAACTATTCAAATTGTATTGGTAGGATCTCGGATCGGCAATGCAAACATACAAACATACAGGAAAAGAAGAAATTCGATGTGCATTCGCGAAACTCGAAAGCATGTTGAATATTTGAATAAAGTGCAACTATAAAAAAAATAGTTATTACGCAAATAATTTAGATAGAAGGGAAATAATTACTCCTCTTCTATACCCTCAATAAATAATAACATTGTGGGTTCCAAGAATGATGATTTCTTTGAAAATATCATTATACCATAACGAACTTATCCATGCAATCGCTATAAGGGTTCCCAGGTTAATTTTCAATTGTTTGTAAAGCCAATGAGATATAGCACTCATTTGTCCTTTAGCAACACAAGATTAGGATTCTTTTTTTCACCGAATAATTTTTTTAGAGGGTGCAGTTTCGGATAAAAGGAATAATAATATGGTCAAATAATACTTTTAAAAAAAAAATAACGAGAAATACTTATAAAGGTTTTTCCGGAATTCCATTCATTTCTTTGGTGACGTCGTCTCTCAATTAATTTTTGGTGGCAATCGAAAATAAAATAACGAAGTATGTAACACGTGTATGTGCAGTAGATCATAAATAGATGATTGACCCATATAAAGCAGTCCCTTTGTCGATCATAAAAGTGTAATATCAAAAATGTTCTAAAAATTTACATTTTCGAAATGACCCTTCCCTTCCCTTTATTTGATTTCTATTTTTAAGTTTATTTTGAATCCCTTTTTTTTCGATCTTTTCACAATGTAAACTAAAAATTTTGAATTCCCAAACAACTAACCTTAAAAAAGCTAAACTAATTGTTGATCATTTTCTAGTCCTACTGCGCCTAAATCTGCTGATTAAACCGGAAAAACGAGACAATCACAAAAATAAACAATAAAACTTGTTGATTAAACCTCTTTGGCGTATGAGCTTTTAATGTTTTGTGAGCAAATGTGACGATTCGATAAACTTAAAAAGTATGTATCTGCTGTCACTATGGTCTATTTCGAATATTATACCTTATTTGTTGACTTTTACGAATTCTTAAAAAATTCCAAGATTCAAATTAAATTAATAAAGAACGATAAACCAATTTTTAAAAAATGGCAATATCACAAGGTAAGCTGTTTATATTTTCTTTTCTTTATGACTTTTTGAATCCTCATGTCAAATAATGAGAGGTTTAAGCTTCCTTAGTAAATTTTCAAATGGTTCACTAAAATTTTTAAAAAAAAGATTCTAAGGTTCCTCCTCCATTACCACCTCGTCGTAATATAGGCACGGGTGAAAATATAGAATTTGCGAAACATGGAAAGACGCCTCCCGCTTGGTTATGTACTTTGATACGTCATAGTCCTGGAGACAATGAACATCTACACGAATTTTATTTATCTGAAGCATTCGATAGCGAAAATGAAACCGTACTTTTGTGTCAAAAATGCCACAGTTGGTTTCATTTAACAACCACCGCATCAAATATTTCTGGAGATAATATGAATCTGGAACAAGGAAGATGCGTTTCTAATCGTGATAACAATTTACATCACTTACATACAACAACTATGACAAAAACATGTATTTCAACTAATTGTTGTCTGTGCAAGTTTTCTGCGAATGTCGAAATAAAAGATCCTTTAATCGATATGGAAATATTTAATCATTTGAGTAAATTAAGAAAACATTCTTCCTATGCGAATATTGTAAGAAATAACTCCGAATCTGAATTCAATGCAAGTTTAAACGATGTCATTGATTATATGATAAAAATAGTCGATGATTTACTATCTCATGATATGAGATCTCTAACAATTCACTGCGAAGAATTTCAAGGGAAAATTGGCTTGGATGAAGCAAGGTTGGTACATCTCTTTATCTCATGTTTTGATTGGTGTAGAATAATAATTGTTTAATAATGATTATGGCTTTCTGACAAATGGTTTTTACCTCTAGCAAGGCTATTTTCCAAAGTCTTGGTTTCCAATTTGAGAATAATTGCCTTAGTCCAATTGATTCTTTAACCGAACAGAATAATAAATTAGCAAAAGAAGAGTTAAAAATGATATCTTTCGAGTTGAGTGAGTGGCATGTTATTTGTCATATGATGTTTTATCATGTGGTAATTTTAGTAGTGTATTGATGCTTTGTTTGACCTATAGATTCGAAAAATAATGCGAAAAAGCCGTATGAAAAACTAGGCAATATTCTTGGAACGAAATGTAAATAAATTTTATTAGGGGAAAAAAAAATTTATAATTATTCCTTTAGCACCATTTTCTAAATTAAGAAAATTCTCTACATGATGATATAATAAAGACAACATTTCTTTCAGCGGTTCTTGTACGAAATTTGACCCTTCAATCGCAACTCGTCCATCTAGCAGCTTTTTCTTAGGTTGCGTGTCTGATATGGACGACCAAACTTTAATTTGGGCATATAAGTTGGGAATATTTGAATTTCCGGAAAAAAGTTCAGAATATTTACAGGCAATATATGAAATGTCCAAAGAAAGGAAAAGTGAAGCATTAGAAGAGTTGGTTGTCTTAGAACGATCTTTAGGTAAAGAATATTGCTTTATATTTATGCATTTACTAAGATTATTCGGCTTAGGGTGTCTAATATTTTTAATTATCTGGTTCATTAATGTTATAGGCAAATTTAGTGTAGATGAACTTAAGGAATCTTATAAATGTCTAAACGTAGAGAATGTCTCTGTCTCCGATGAATTAGTAATCGATGCTTATAATACATTAGTAATTACGCTTCATGTTTACGATTGCTTTTTTTATTATTATTTATTGAATTGTAATTAATAAACTTTACTTTCTTTTCAGGTTACTGATCAACCTTCTTCAAGAGCAAATTATCGAAATGCCTTAACTATAATTGCAAAGGCTAGAAAAAGTGAAAAATTAATAAATTTTATAAATGATGGACAAATCAACGGTGAGTATATTTCCATTAATTAATCAATATTACTTTACGAATTATTGATATTGATTTCTTTTACAATAAAAAGAAATTTCTAATTTTTTATGGGTTACGGTCATATTGATTTTCTATGGCTATAAATATACTTATTTTTTTAGAGGTTCTAATGTTAGATTATTTTTCAGAAATGTAAGTGCTGTTAATAAATTAGTAATCAATATGTTAAATCGGAAAATTGTGATTGATCACATGTTTTTTATTATTAGGCCAGTAGGGTTGGACAACATTGGGAACACCTGTTATCTTAATTCTTTATTACAGGTTTGAATGGATTTGTTCCTTTTGTTTTGTTGGACCGATATACCATACCGATATGCTTACATGTTCTGATTTTTGCTTTAGTATTATTTTACAATACGACCATTACGTCAGGCTGTTTTGAAGGATTCATCAAGTATTGATGGGCATGAACTGGACTGGCAATCTATTACTATTGGTCATAGAAAAGTGTCAAGAGCCGAGGTTGAAAGAGCTAATAAATGTATTTTATATGTTCATTCATCTGGAATTTATTATAAAATTTTTTATGGAAATCCTTTTAATAATTATCTCTTTCTTGTTTAATCCTTTGTAATAGTTGTCGCACTTTTGCGGGGATTATTTGTAAATTTAATACACACACAGCAAAAATCTCTCTCTCCAGATATAGATTTGGCATATTTAGCTCTTGTCAATGCCAAAAGTGATGAAGAAGAAAACAAAGATTCATCGAAATCTCCCATAGATTTATCAAATACTTCTTTATATGATGATAAAATGGCTATCGATGATCCTAGTCCTGGCCCATCATATAAGGATACAGATCATGTTATGACATCTGAGACGAATGATCATAATTATATATCTGAAGAAGAGACTGTTGTAATAATGGAAGGCACTGCAGCTTCAACCGATAATAAAAATGGAGATGCGATGTCTCCCATGTTCCAACAAAATGATGAGACAAATACACCTTATTCTTCAAAGGGAAAGGAAAAAGAAAGTAATCAGACGGACCTATCATCCGATTTATTTAACAATACTAAAGAAGAAAAACTTAGAACAGCTTCAGAAATGTTGTTTGGTAAACAACATGATGTCACTGGTATGTAATTTATTAGTTATTTCAATAATTCGTTCGGTAAGAAATTATTACGACAAATTACCTTCTGATGTTGTTTATAGAATGTATGGATAATGTCATGTTCCAACTCGAAGCTGCATTAAAATCATCATTTATGATTGATGAAAATGGCGAAAGTCAAAATATTGTGAAGAGGTGACGGATTTTGCCCTTATATATTTCGTGTATACAGTCAAAGTACTTTTAACGAATCATCCCGTTCCTTTTAAAATTTTTAAATTCATTAACACTTTGTTATATCAATTCATTTTGAAAATTCGTTATATAAAAATTCTATATAACACTTCGACTGTATACATTTTATAGACAATGTTTTTAATACATTTTTATTTTATTTAGTTTATTTTATGGTCAAACACGACAGATTCTTCAATACAAGGATCAGAATACGGGTGATCCGGTTAATTTGCATAAAGAAGAATCATTCAATCATCTGATATCCTTTATTATATTTGTTTTAATTTTTGAAAAAAAGGATAATCATCACGAAATAATGTTTCTTTTTCTTTAACTTATATATAATGTAAACATTGTAGTTGTTGCTGAAGGGCGTGATCTGTATGAAGGATTAGATGTTTATTTTGATACGTCTATGGTGAATTGATTAATACTTATATCTGTTGATAGATATCTTAATGATTTGAGTTTAATTTTCATAATTTCACGTTTCAAATTAACTCAGGTCGAGTATGATGGCACTCAAGCGATAAGAGAAGTTACTATTACTAAGGTACCCCCTATATTACAAATTCATGTTCAGGTAAGGTATTTATTATTATATTATAGAAGCTGTTTTCAATCTTATTTACCAATAACGTATTGGTCAATCTTGAATATAGCGCGTGCAATTTGATCGATCTACATCCAACATTTATAAATCAAATGCTTATCTTCGATTCGATAAAGTTATTTACCTTGATAGATACTTGGAAAAAAACTACGATTTATTAAAACAAAAACGGAATGAAGCCCACATTTGGAGACAGGATATAGACAAAATGCAAGAAGAGCTTAAAGATTATGAACATGATAAGGTAATCAAGTAGATTGGTAAAATACATATATGAGCATTTGTCTTATTCAAGTTTACTTACAATATATTTTTACGTAAAAAAAGAAAACCGCGTTATCTACAGTCGATTTGCTTAAATCGACTGCTGAATTCATTCATGTTATGAAAAACCAATATGCTAATACTATGTTTGATGAGAATTTCAATTGGCAGTTATCTGCCCTGGAACAAGAAAGCAATTTTGTTAATAATGCAATTGGAGGTAGTTTATGATTTTTGTGTACTCGTATTATTGGCTATTCGTGATGATTTGCTAATTCCGTATTGAAATTATAGAGATTCATAGTAAAACAACAGTATTAAAGTCAAAATTAAAAGAGCATTATCAAGACCTACGAGAATGCGAGTATCGCTTACACGCTGTTTTCATACATAGTGGTAAGTTACAGAAAAGTTTGTGATTTTTAATTATTATTAAGTATGGATTTTATAATTTTTGAAATTTGTTAGGTCAAGCAACTTTTGGTCATTACTGGATATATATATATGATTTTGAAAAGGATCGATGGTTGAAGTTTAACGATTCATATGTAACAGAGGTATTGTAATTTCACTGAATTAAGATTTTAGCATTTCAAGTTGAAAATAATTTTAATGTTAATATATGTAATTCAGTTAGAAGAACGTGAAGTCTTTGCTGATACTACAGGTTCATCAGCAAATCCTTATTGTATGGTTTACGTGCGAGCACAAGGTAAGATCTATTGTTTGTATATGTGTAGAACATGCTCGGAAAATGTTTACCATTTTTTCTTTGTATTTTTATGTTTATTTCAGAAGCTAAAGAATTAGTAGAAACAGTATGTCGAAAAAACAGCTAGATATTAGTTTATGTAGCTAATTGCACCTTTCCATATTCTTTGATCAGGTTTGATTTAAAAGGTTGTAATCTCAATGTAATAATTTAAGGTGTATTTTTTGTTATTAAATTCTTTAAAGTTATAAAGTTGGTTTTTTTGTATTATTTTTGGATTGTAAATGCAAATATTAGAAAATAATATTAATATTGATGTTTTATTAATAAAAGTTATATATTTTATTTAACGGTGATAGAAAATACTAATCACGTTATTTTCACAGAATAAATAGAATAAAATAGTAATAATTAGATATATTATACTTTCGTAAATTATAGGCATTTTGCAATAGAAAGGCACAAAAAAAAACTTATTTTATTTGTTTAACCAAAAAAAAAGTTGTTCTCATTTTTCTATTGTAAATTGTAAAACATTTATATATATTTATTACAATAAATAATAAAACAGAGATATTTTTAAATTAATTAATTATTTAAAACCTTTATTAAATTATTTTTAATATTAATAATTATAATTGTATCATAAAAAATTTGATTCTATAAATATACAGTCAGACCTCTCTAAATACACCCTCCAGCTTAAAATTGCGTGTGCATTAAGAGAAATCAATAAATTTATTTGTTTATAATATCTAATACTGTTTTTTATCATATATAGTCACGTGATATACATTTAAATGTAATATGAAAGGACTGGAAAACTTCTTGCACGTGCAGAACATAGAGGGTATATTTAGCATTTAAGTTCTAAACTTGGGATCATACCAAACCATGCTTATAAAGAGGGTGTATATTTATAGGAGATGCATTTAAAGAGGTCTCACTGTACTAATGATACAATTAAGGGTGCAAACATTTATATGAGTTATAACTTTAGTTATAACATTAATAAGATATAAAAAGGTTATAACATATACAATTAA